CGGGCGCCGTTTCGCTCGCCCCCTCCTTCGCTGGGGCGGGGAGCGCTCCGGTCGCCGTAGCGGCTGAAGCGCCTGCCGCTGCCCGCCCTCTGCTGACATCGCTGGCTGCTGCTGAGCAGCGACTAGCTCACCGTGAGCCACTCCAATTCAGCACACCCTCCGAGCTTCTCACAGGGGTTGCAGCCTCACGGTCAGCGCCTGCGGGGGCTGCCCTGTTCTCTGGGGCCGGGCCGCCCGATGCTGAGATGGAGATGCAACCGCCGTCCCCAGTCCAAGCGGCGGTGACAACTCCCTCCTCCCCTGCCGGGCCAACGCCCTCCCTCTCAGAGGGGGGTGGTGCTGGCCCGCCCTTTCACGATGACGTCAGAACCCGGCCTGCCTGCTGCTGAGAGGGGGAGGCGGGCACCCTTCCCGGGCCCGGGGATGCTGCCGGCTCCTCCCTTCTCCCTGGTGTCAGAGCCTAGCTCCTTTGTGGGGCCTGGGTCTCTGCCTCCTTTCTCTGCTCTGGCAGAGGAAAGGCTGTTTTCTCTTTCCCCATCAGCCTTATCATTCATTCGTCAAGAAGAGATGACCTTTTGCTCGAATTTGCTGACCCCAGCGCCAATCTCATCGACCAGAAGAGACCTGTCTGCCTGTCCGGTCTCAAAGGATTCCACCGATCTACCGTGCTCCATCACTCCAGCCCTGTGCTGACAGCAGCAACAACTCTGTTCTCATTTCGAAAAGGGGAGGGGCTGGGTCTCGGTCCATTCTTGGGGTGGGCATGGGGAAAAGGAATTCTCAGGCAGATGTTTCTCTGCTTGAGTCAATTTCTGCAGGAGAATTCCTGACAAATTGCATGGATTACAGTCAAATGGGAGAAGCACAGGTTTTTCCTACAGCTATTGCTCTCAAACACAGAACAGCAAAATTTTAGTGTTGCCTCCAAGGCAGAACAGAGAAATTGGAAAAAGAGAAAAAAGAGATCAAAATAATCCTGTTCTCGTGAATCACCTTTGCCTCATTACAGCCTTTGGATGAGACACGTCTGGATCCTTGCTGTAACCTGCAAGAAATGGTCACTCTGTCCTGACCAGCAGAAGCAGTATGTGGTCACTGTTCAGTTTCCATGCTGCACAACAAACCAAATACCAACGGGATGATCCCTCTACATGTGGGGAATGGACATTCATCTGTTCATTGAACTCTTGATATGTGTTTGGGTGAAATTATAGCAGTTTTCACAATTGTATTAGTATAATCACTTAGTGGTGAATTGTCCACTGTTGTACTTCACTTGGTGATGGGATTTGAGCAGAGAAAAGACACCAAACTCTTGGCACTCAAATATCCTCAGGTCTTTGGGTTCTGTTTGTTTCTCCTAACCCTGCTGGGGAGCACAAACGCTTCTCTGTTCCTTTTTTAGTATATTTCGGAAAGGGGACCTGTAGGGACACATAATATTGAGAAAGCAAGAAAATTACAGCCTGAAAAATATTGCAGGCTGGAGCTTCTCAGCTCTGTTCCCAGCCGATAAGCTGGTCCAACTCAAAGCTAGGGAGAATTTCTCTCAGGGTAATATCTTGGTCAAAATAAAAAGGAATTAATAACAAAGATAGAACACATGTTGTGGTGCGTGACCAGGCCCTGGGAATGGGGTGTCTTCTCTCTGAACCAATCACCTTTTTTCTACTCTTGGAATTGCGAGTCATGCTATAAAACCAAGTGTGTTTCTGAATAAACTTGTCTCTTTCGTTCTATCATGAAAGACGACGATGTAGCTGTGCATCTTATTTCTGCCGCACTTAAAGGGTTAAAACCCCTTTCCACAGCTACAGTTGATGAGTACTGCTTACGGGTGGACATCGTTAGACCAAATTCACAACAAATGTCCACACTTAGGATCTGAAGCCCATCAGCAGTACACAGAGGTTTAGAAGAAGCTTGATTATCTGCAGTAATCATAGCATCATGGAATGCTTTAGGTTGGAAGGGACCTTAAAGATCATGAACCCCTCCTGCCACAGACAAGCACACCTCTCACTATCTCAGGGTGCTTAGACCCCCATCTTAGACCCCCCATTCCAAGCCTGGCCTTCGAATAGTTCCAGGGATGAGGCATCCACATGTTTTCTGGACAACCTGTTCCCCTGTCTTACCACTAATGTATTTTTCCTTTAGTAGAATCTTTATTTCTAAATAAGCTACAAAACTGCAGAACAATCATTTAGAGCAGTGTTTCTCAACTTGTCAGCAAGAGTTCCCTTGGCAATCTTGCAGGATTTCAAGAAACTGCAGAAAACAACTCTGAGAAGTCTTTACCAGTCTATAAAGAGGCTGCAGCTCCTAAAAAAATCATAGTGCTGTTATGGGTAAAATTTAGTTAGTTTGTTACAAGTCAAGATTGTTAATTTTCTAAGTTAACTGTTGTCCTGTGGTGATTTTATGAAGAAGTTCATTGTGTTTCAAGTTAGTTGAAATGTTACAAAAAGTTAAATTAATGTTTGTTTAAAGTTTAAAGGGGTCCAGGGTGGCATGGTGGTTGTTCCTGAGGGGTGTGGTAACACCTTGAGAGTGAAGTCAGCGCAGTGACATCAGCGCCACGAGACGAGATTGGTAGAAGGAGCGGTCCAATCACTTGACACCCTGAGAGAATGATTGGACAGGAATGAACCGCGTTAAAGACCAGCGAAAGCCCCAAAAACGGACCAATTATCACGAGGATCCAAATCCCACCAATCCTGGACCCAAGGGGAGGTATAAAAGGGACTGTTGGGCTGTTGCTTGCTCCTCTTCTGAGGAGTTTGTTTCCGAGGGAGCCCCCGGTGTGTAGGGGGTTCGACACATTTGTATCAGTTTTCCGGCTTGCTGCAAGGGGACTCGGGCTTACCTCGGGTCCTCCGTTTTCTACAGCTGCTTTTAAGAAACGAGTGCCTCTTTTACAAGAAAATTTTTACTCTGTTTTAAAAGACCAGGTGACTTTCAGCTAAAAGCTCTGGCCTCGTTCATTACAGTGCTGTGCAGGTTGAAGTCTGAAAAACAGTTATGTTGCTTGGGTCATCAGCAAAATAAAAGATGCTGCTCTTGATATGCTCATTTCTAAGTAAATGTGAGTTTTTCCAAACTCATGGCAATTGTATGTTAAGGGAGGCTAAGACGTACCAAAAGTTTAGTAGAATTTTACTTTGCAGCTGCTTGCCTGCTTTAGGAGTTCAAAGGGAATTATTTTATCTATTGAACCAATTCTTGACAATTTAAATTCACCTTTTTCAGTCCAGTAGGAATTGGCACCAAGATTTTTTTCTTGTGTTCTATTTGTAGTAATGGAGCAAAACATCTTGAAGTCAAGGAAGGGATTCCTAACACATTAAGCAGGTTGCTAGTGTGTTTTAGGATGTGACCAAAAGTATGTATTCTATCACCATCTGTTGAAAACAGGTGGGGCAGTGATCCTTATATCTGTGGGAGATATTCTCTGCTAACAGGCCATCTGTTAAAATCAGGTGGGGCACTCATCTTTTCCACAGCCCATCCTTCCTCCAGGAAGATATCTTCTGTTAATGGGTCATTGAGTCCCACTGAATGACTGATAAAATTACATCATCACATTGGAAGAAGCCAGAGGGAGGAGCCAAGCCTTTCCTACCTAGATAAAAACTGAGATCTGGAACACCAAGGCAGCCTTTTTCACCTAGATTCCAAAGGTAAAACCAGATCTTTCCACGTAATCACTGGTCCTTTGGAGGAAAACTGCACTCTTCTACAGGACCACTGCTTCAGCTGAACCACATCTGTCATCCAGGAGGACTGCAGCCACCATTTAATTGGACTGCGACCAACACCCTGACTGACAGGGTGTCAGGTTGTATTCTGACTCTCAGCCATGTTTTTGTGTTTGTTCTTTGTAATACTGTATTTCTATTTTCATTTTCCTAGTAAAGAATTGTTATTCCTGTTCCCATATCTTTGCCTGAGAACCCCTTAATTTGAAAATTATAATAATTTGGAGGGAGGGGGTTTACCTTCTCCGTTTTAAAAAGAGGCTCCTGCCTTTCTTGGCAGATACCTGTCTTTGAAACCAAGACATAGTTTTTTAATTGTTCTCTCATTCCACTGTCCAACTTGTGGAAGAAATTGTCAACTCTGCTCTAGATCCAGAGCTAAGCAAGACCACAAAAGGGACCTTGGTAAAGAAAGGATGAAACTAAAGGAAGAAAGACAGTGTGGATTGCAAGAAAACGGAGAGGATGTCTTACAGTGGTAGAGGAAACTGGTTAAAACAAGGGAAGTGGTTAAGCCACTGGCAAAAAAAGATGGCATGCTGTTAGGAAGGATGAATTAGGGAAACCTTATAAATACGAGTGCCTAGCAAAAGACTTTGAGAATATGGAAAATATAAGCGAAATAGAAATGATAGCAATTTTCAACTCTGTGGCTGAAAGCAACTAAATGCCTGAAGGCCCCTTTGTTTAGATAATGTTAGATGCTGCGAACACCAAAAAACAAGCAGACATCCTCCCTAGGCATGGCAGGAAGGGTTTGAAAAAAATTTAGATATAAGAAAAGCAGTAAAACATGGTAATATAGTGATTCCTATAGGATGCATGCAAATGTTAGAGAATTTGTATCTTGTATTAGATTGGTTAGTGGAAATTAGAATATTCAACATAAAAGAAGATTTATTGTATTGTAAATGGGAAAATCACTCTCTTTGCTCTTGCTCTCTTGGTCTCTTACTCTCTTGCTCTCTTACTCTCTTACGCTCTCTTCTCTTACTCTTGCTCTATCCCTCTCTCACTGTCCTGCTTTGAGCTGTGGCTGCAGTTCCTAGCAGGGCCTTATATATACCTACGCCTTACGAAATAAACTGCAAACTTCAAGACCAGAATACAGAGAGAGCCTGAGTTTGTCCCGACTGTCCCAATGCAGTAATTCCCACAGCATGCCACATCCACCTAGGAGTAGATAACATCTACTGTCAGTGAGAAGATGATGAATCAAATCAGTTGTTTAATACTGAGAGGAGAATGAATACTCTGGTTTTGCGCTTAGCCCTCAGGTTCAAGACTGGAATCATGAAACATTGTTTTCCAGGCACAGAACAAAGCCTCTTGTAACTGTGCCTGGTGTTCCTTGGAGAGATGCACAGAACCAAGCCTATCTGGGGTCTGAATGCCAACTGTAGCTCCAAATGTTAGACAGATTGCTAATTATGTGGTGTTTTGTATCATGCTTAGATTGGTGTGTGGAGTATATAACTTCACCAGTTTCATTATCAGAAGCATTTCCTGTTGATGAAGATTTCACAAATTAAGCTGAATTGCCTTGCTATAAGAAGAAAGAGATCCAGCTTCTCCCAACCTTAGTCTAACTCTCTTTCCTACATTATTCTGAGCCCACTGAGTGGCTATGAACATATGGCATAAATGGTTTAAAAATCATCTTCTAGAGAGCAGTATGATTCTAAAGAGATATAACCAGTCTTCATAACTGTTTGTAATCCTGTAGATAAGGATGTGGCTTGCAAAGGACCCATCAGCCATTTGCTTACTATTCTTGGATATTTAAGTTGTGATAGTGTATTTCAATTGTTAAGTTTACCATCTTTCCATGGCTGAAACTTACACAGGGGATGATAAAATGGAGAGGTTTCTAGAAGCCTTTCTCACAGCAATTAATAAATTTGAATTAGGATCACTGCATGCCGGAGCACCAGTTCCTCTTTTGGCTTACTGCCCTCACCAAAACACTTGCAAAAACACAGAAATAAATCCTGTTGCTTCTTGGCAAATGCTACATGTTAGTAATAGCCACCAAGAACCGTGCAAACTCAGGAGTAATTTCATACTACTGGGTCCTTAAATAGTTCCAAGAATTCTTCCTACTGTGATCAGAAAAATGAAGGATGAGTGAACAAGATTATGCTTATTTTGGCCTGTTCATAAAGACTGATGTTGGGAGAGGCAAAAGTATTTCAAATGCAGTTCCAACTGTGCTGTCAAAAACTGTTGCTTCCAAGAAAACTGCTAGCATGAGGCACGTTGAGACTGACATTTCCCAATAGCTAAGAAGAGCTTTATGTAGTGCTGTGAATGCTACACAAAGCGTTTTATGAGTAAGATGAAAAGAAGAGCTGACCTGATGAAAATGTGCCTGAAAGGATGGTGTGCAGTTTGCATTGTATCCCAGGACTCCATGTTGGTTGGTTTTTATTGCTTTCTGAGTCCACAAAGTTAAGTTAAATAGTTTGTACTATAAACTCTTCAGGGATCACTCCAAAGTGATGCTATAAAAACTGTGTGGTGCAGTAGAAGTGACAGTGGATCTAAAATCTCATTTAAGCAGTTTACACAGTTAAAAAGAATTACATGGAATTCTTCCCCCTCACCAGTCCATAAATCATAACTCATATTCCTCTTGATAAAGAAACAGCTGCAGAAGGTCATGTTAGCAGTAAATAATTAAACTATTTGGGTGGGTCAAATATCAGGATTTCTTCAATACAAACCAGTAAATGGTTTTCAATATATCTTACCAATGTAAATTCCTTTTGCTGCTAATCTGAGCATGGAGAATTGCTTTGAGTGTTAAAATTTCTCCACATTACTCTAGTTTTAAAGAATATAAAAGCTGAAAGGGCACTAGTGGCAAAATCTGAGGACCAAGAAGAATGCTAAAGAGAAAAAGTTTAATGCTTATATACATTTGGATTTTGGATTTATTTAATTCAAGGATTTAAAGAGAAAATCCATCTTAGACTACATGGCAGTAAGATGGTAAAGCAAAAATTTTCACAGAAGGCTATGTGTACCATTAGCACCCTAGGGTCTGATGGTTCAGTTTGGCTACTTGACTACCATTTCAAGTATCTTGATTCAAAGTCCCATAAAGAGGCCTCAGTCTTCAGAGGAAACGGCTACACATATTAAGAATCAAGAACCTGTTCAAATTGCTGTAGTTTAGTATCCAAAAGCCAGTGCCTGGTGTTCAGAAGCTGGCCACCCAGCCAGGTGGTGGTACAGTACCATCTCTTACCTAATTGTGTGTCCTGGCAGCACAGGTGTTGATATTCACATTTTCTTCCCTGAACACTCTTGGATCCTGAGGGCAAGTCCATGAATGCTGCTATAGTAGAATGCCAGATGTTTCTGATCCATAGTCCCACAACACAGTTGTGTTTAGTCAAGCATGCCATGAAATAACATGACTCTTAGCCACTCTTACACCAGCTTAATCACACAAAGATTGCTTGAGGTAAGAATCCTCAAACTGCTATAATCAGCAGTCCCATTTGACAGTGCAAAATGTCTGGATTTCACATGACAGTATACACCCTTCCTATAGTCTTAATTTTTTCCATCTTCAGGAATATATCATTTGTAGCTTGGGCTGCATTTTAAAACAAACAACTGAACTATTTCACACAGTTTCATTAAATATGTGCTTTCAGAAGATACAAGATGCAAAGCGAATGCATCAAACAGAAATGAGTCATTCACTACGATCCAGATGAAGACACAACCCATTGAAAGACAGCAAGTTGAGCAGGTGGCCACAAATGAAATAAAATAACTCTTGGAATGACTGAAATTAGTCTGATTCATTCAGATTAAGTTTTTCAAACAGCACCAAACTGTTAAATGTCGTATTTTGAGTTTGCTATATCAAAGGGATTTTGTTCAAGGCTCAAAATGTAAGGTTGCTACATAAGTGATTATTTTCATGTTTTTTCCTCTGCAATGGAGTTCTTTGATGAAGAATAAAGCTAGTCTGTGGTCATGAGTGAAGATCCACTTTAAGTAATATTTTCATAGTAGATGCTGAAACATCTTCCTCTGTGGCTGTTTATTTAATTCATTATTGTATTTGTGACAACCCTTGTCAGCAATGGGACTGCCATGGTGCTATATCTTATTGCACAGACTTCTCTAGGATGTGAAGTAATTTTGGTTCAGGCATTCCATCCAGCCTGGATACTGCCGCTGCCCAGCTGCTATTTCAGAAACCCAACCACAAGGAACTTCTGTGTTGAATCTCATTGCTCCTACTTTTGACAGGGGGCTGGGGAGGGGTGGGAGGGGATGGTAATGGGCTCCTGGGGTATTTACCCTCATTCTCACTGAATAGGAAAACGGAGAATTAAGGGCAGATGTTTCCCCCAGGGGAAATGGAGTGTACTGATTAATTGCTGCAGGAATTTAACTGGTGCTTCACACTTCCTTCAAATGCTAGTATAGCTTTAAGACAGCCAGTGATGTGTGTTTTCTAGTATCAGTCTTTAATTCCATATCTTTTTTTGCTGGAGAGTTCAATTTATTAATTTAATAGTGTTTTAGCAATCTCTGTCAATGCAACCCTTTGCTGATGACTGTGGAGCATCATGACTGTTTTACAGTAAAAACTAAATAGTTGTGGGGGTTGAATGCTTCCCTTTTCTTTCTGTGGAATTTCTCCCACTGTTATGGTAAGTAGTTGTGGCTACACCTTAAAACGATAGATAATGTTCTCTCATGGGGGGTGGGTGGAGGGGGACGGGAAAAGGAAAGGTGGGACGGGGGGTCTGGAGCAGGGGACTCTCTCTCGCTTGGTTCGTGGAGTGGGAGGACGGCCCAGGTTCCGATCTGGCATCTCCTCTGCCATCCCAGCGCTGAGATCCATGCTCCCTGCTGTTGGACATCACTCTGCTGCTCTCCCACCTCACCCTGCTATCTCCGGACACTCTGCCGAGCACCACGACTGACACCGTGAGGGGGGAGTCACTTTCCCATCCTGCTCACCCCTGGGCCACTGCCGCCATCACCCAGCCCTCTTCGACTGCGCAGGACCTGCCCTGCCCCCACAGCACCGCTAACTGAGCACAGGGAGACGGCCTGCGGCCAAAAGGGACTGGAACTGAGTTATACTGTTCTGTTCTGTTCTGTTGTCAATTTTTATAGCTGTAGTTGTTTTCTGCCTTGTTAGATATCAGTAAAGAACTGGTCTCCTTATCCTCACATCTCCTGCCTGAAGGCCTCTGATTTAAAACTAAAATAATTAAAAGGGAGGGGGTTGCATTCTGCATCTCAGGAAGGCGGCTCTTGCCTTTCCTTAGACCATACCTGTCTTTCAAAGCAAGACAGATTTTTGGCGCCCAGAACGTGGGGCATTGCCTGAGGGCATTGAGAGAGGGATAGGAAAGGGGATAACAGTTCTTCAGTTACCCAAGTTTGTGGTAGGTGACACCATGCTGTCCAGCTTACCCTGGATTGGCCTCCAGGTGGTCACTGCTATATCTCTCCCATTTGCAAGCCCTTTTTTAAACATGAGTCTCATAACCAAGGCTATTATCTAGTTCATTTTGTGGGTTGATCAGTTGAGGAATTCATGGATTTTTAATTTTCTCTGGAAGATGGCCACATGGATTCAGAGCTATCGCACTTTCTAAGTGTCTGTTTCTGGGGCTACTTCAATAATGGTACTTACTGTGAAGAAGTGACAGCAGGTGATATTTTCTCCCAACCCATCACGTGGTGTTTGAAGTTCACCCCACCAGTCTTCAAGGGGTTCAAATCCACTCTAAATGCTAATGACATTATACTGTGGCTGGTGTTGCTGATATCCCTGTTAAACCTGTTCTATCTAACATTCAGAGATAAGGGAAGATTGACTTGGATAACAACCCTGATACCTACACCAGGAAATAGTGATGCTGCCCCAGAGCCTGATCCTGTCCAAGAGACTAGGGATATTACCCCAGAATTTGACCCTGCCCCACAGCCCACCTCAGAAAGGAACCACCTGGAGTAGGTGGGGTTTCTAGCTAAGGAGATACATGAGATGAGCCAGATGCTGAAGGAGTACCTCTCCCCAGCTGGTGAGAAACCCTCCCCCTGCCTTAAAGAGGGAGACTCTGATGGTGCAGCAGTGGGACCCACAGACATTACATCTGTCCAGGTTCCAGCTGAACTGCAAGGGCACTCAGCAGCAGCAGTTGCCCCTGTGGAAACTAGGAAGTCTAAGATGAAAACAAGGCACCTCGATAATAAGGGTCAGG